TATATATATACTCTGGGAGGTCATTTCTCAACCAGTCAGACATAAAAAAGACTCAAAAGAAAATGTAACAACTTCATGTTCTTCCACGACGCAGTCGCAAAACTATGGAACTTGCGTCCTTTCAGCAGAGTCACCCGATTATGTTTTAAGCCTTGGCGTCCCGAACACACGCATAGAGAGACTGCTTTCTCCCTTTCCGCATGAGCGGCGCCCAATGCAGCGCGACAGAACGAAAATATAATAAAATTCTCACATCTGTAGATCCATACAAAGGGACTCAGGCGCCGAGGTGGTAATGTCAACTTTGGCCGAAAATTCTCTTTCTTTCCGTCTTTTTGTCACTCGGGAAACGAGGTGAGCGGGGAAATAATTAAAAGTCTGGAAACGAATCTGGTCAACTAGGAAGATGGGACTCTGAAGGTGGGCACGGTAGCTTGTTCATTGAAGGTTATACACAACTAATTATTTATGCTAGGACATTATGTTATATCGATCACTTCACAGTGTTGGTCTCCTAGCAAGAACACACCCGAGCAAAGTGCTTTGAAGTACATGCGCTTCAACAAAAACAAAACGCTAGTGGAGACGCCAGACGTGCTTTTCTAAAAGTACATGATTATGATGCTATTTTTATAGAGTGATGTGTTTAGTATAGATATAGAGTGTGAGCCAAGATTATTTTTCTCGAGGGCCTATTTATTGAGAAACGAAGAGAAACGCTTTCTTTATCATCAGTTGTGACATTTAGATTAATTCATTAAGGATGCGCTGTTTTTAGGCACCTAAAATGAAGAAGCATAACTCCATTACTCTTCAAACTTTTAGATTCTATTTCCTTTATCTGAAACAAAACCAAAAAAAACAGAAAAAAAACAGAAAAAACAGGCAACAACATACATACTATCCCAGCAAGTTCGTGTTTCTAATTTTTGGATGACACATGTAGTTCAAATGTGATGCAATATTAACTTTGATCTGCTGTTGATCGGACACAACAATATTCACATGCTAAAGGGTTAAAAAGTGTGAATAGAGGAAGAAGTATTTTGGTGAATAACATTTTGTGCATAGTCTAGGTATTACACGCCTTTTGCTTAAAGATGTTTTTAGTGCAGGTGTTTTTACGCCCCCATCGACACAATGTAGATCTTTTAGAAGGCGGACTTTCGACCCTGACTGCCCGGGCCAACTCGGACTGAGAGAGATACAACAGCCTAACAGAAAGACAGACATACATGTACTCGATAAAAATGTTCTCCCCACTTGAGAATCGAACTTTGGTATCCTGTGTGCGACAGGGAAGCGCGTAATCGCCACGCCACAGACACCGGTTTTACATAAAGTAGTGAATCCCATACACCGCCAGTATAGCCTCACAGTCACGTATAGATTGCATTTACTTGAAAAAGGGTACGGCCTCCAAAAACACTGGGGTCTGAAACCCCTTAATAAATGAGAGGTAAAAGTTTCCCGCGAACGCCAATGTATCTATCTGTGCCCACAAAAAAAAAGAAAAGAAATTTTAAAAAAGAAAAAAGAAGGAATTTTGGTACCCAAAAAAAAGTAACAATTGAAAGACTCGAGTTCGTTTCTTGAACTATAGCTGTTTTTCTTGGTCTTATCGGAGATACGAATTATACACAGAAGTCTCTTAAATAACCTCACAGAGAATTAACGGCCGCAGAAACTATAGCATACAACTCCAAATAAAACTTAGAGCGTAAAATTCCCAGCCCTTCAAAGAAAGAATAAAGAAGGAGAAAAGAACTTTTCGCTTTCGCGCCTACTGAACATGTAAACAAGATTGCATTAAAAATTGGCTCTCTGCAAGATTTTCAGTCATTACTTCACAGAGACATAGATCCCTGTAAACTTGTCAACCTCCC